TGATGGGCCAGAAAAGCATGAAATAGATTTTTGTAGCGTTTTTTTTTTTCTTTCTTTTTTTTGTCCGCAGCATTAATCGACTCTGACAGCTCAGAAATCTCCCCGGCTGGCACTGTGTTCTGTTTCTGATAACTTAAGTGAATAAAAATGTTTTATAGACTTGAACCAAGTTTGCGGCGGCTGAGCAGCAACATTTTTCAAACGCGGAAAGAGCCGAGTCAGCGTCTCGGTCATCGGGGTTCAATATATTTGCTGCTGTTTTTCTTTTCTTTTTTTTTTTTAAACAACTCTCTTTCGTTCTGGTCTCTGCTCTGACTAGCCATTAGCTCGTCATTCTGATCAAAGTGAAACTCTGTTTCTGGAAAAAGCAACAGTTTTATTGTTGGATTGTTGGATTTTCTGGTTTGTAAAACATATTTTTTCTGTCTTTCTGCCCACAGAGGATGCAGCACTGATGAGCAACGTTTAGATGACTGAAGCACCGATCCTGAGCAGCAGCAGTCCACAGTAACAGTTAGGTATCCTACCAGCTATTGTCAGAGCTGTCTGTGAGGATGTAATTATATATCATTATCGTTTTATCATTATACTCTCCGCTTCAAAGCTTCATCTGCTACCTGCTCATGTTCTGAGCAGCTGATATTTGGAAAATGTGGTGGCAATCAGAGACTGTTTTTTTTTGTTCAGATTGGGGGTTTCTCTAAAATAAACTGTTTATTTCTTAAAACTATCTTTTACATTTGCRAAAGTCTGCTTCTGTGTGGAGAGGATCAGAGCTGCATGCTTTAAAACTGCCTTTATTGTATGAGGGGTCATAAATCATTGATAAGGCATATATTATTTTTCTCCTTTGTGGGATGTAAAAATCAAAGTGTCGGCAACAAATATCAATATTTTGATTCATGAAGTAAGGAAGGGATTATCCTCTGTCTGGAGAAGCAGCTTCATAAAACTTTATCAAAAACAAATGTCTGRTAAGAAGAGGAAACTAGACATGGGTTTTTGTTTTACCTGCAGCAGTGCACTTGCAGAATGAATGGTGACCAAGTTCAAATGTGTTTTCTAAACCAGCTTGTGCTTGTCAAGTCAGCAGGTGTTTGTAATGAGGGTAATTGTGTGACAATATGAAGTTTGTAGAGAATTTTTTTTGTTAATGTTACTGCAGCTGGGTTTTGAACCCTGATCTCC